GTTCTCTCTCAATCCAAACTACTATGACATAGTTATGCATACAAAAAGTGTTTATCAACTTAAACCTCTTGTTAGTATAGTTATCTCAGAGCCTTGTCAAAGTTATTGGTGGTAAGACCTTAAACCAATTACTCTCAAGACAGACCGGAGACACCTATACACACAAAAATGTCTAGTCTCTACAAGAGTTTCAAGTTTTGCTCAGCACTGTTGTGGTCATGTGCTTCTTTCCTGGTTTCATGAACAATCCCGAAAGCAAACCCAAACCTCATGAGAAGTGGCACCACTTCTATGTTTACATAGGTGAAGTTCCACTATGTGCTCCGTTATTTGACACATTCAGAACTTTATTAAGAGTTTATCTCAACCTCTCATCATAACGGACAGCATTGTTTATGTTGTGATGGGAAATTTCTCAATGTCAGTGCTAATAGTCACATTGCTGTAACTTGTTGTTACCCATTAAACCCAATACTGATGGTTTTCAGTTCAGGTTGGGTTGCCATTACAAGTGACTAAGTAAAGGGTTTTAATCTCATCTCTTTGGTTGTCATTCTTACCAATTCTCTGGCCAAGCCCTTGGTAAGAGGATCARCCAAGTTTTTACTTGACCTCACATAGGTTATAGTGATGACTCCATCTTGAATCAGTTGTCTAACAAATTCATGTCTCAGACTTATATGTCTGGACTTACCATTGTAGGCCCTTGACAGAGTTGCCTCACTATCACGGTAAATGGAAATTGGAGGCATAGGACTAGGCCAAAGTTTTATATCCAATAATAAATTCCTAATCCATTCAGCCTCTTTTCTAGCAGCCGCTAAGGCTATGAATTTGGATTCCATGGTCGAGTGAGATATACAAGTTTGTCTTTTGGATGCCCAAGAGATTGCACCCCCACCAAGGATGAAAATCTATCCAGATGTGGACTTGTTATCTCCATTACCGGTAATCCAACTTGCATTAGTGTACCCTTCTAGTACAACTGGATAATCACAGTAAAACAAGCCAAGTTCCAAGGTTTTCTTGAGATACCCAAGAACTCTCTCAATTGCCTTCCAGTGCTCTGCACCGGGATTACTTGTAAACCGACTGAATTTACTTACTACAAATGCAATATCAAGTCTGGTACAAAGCATAGCATACATAAAGCTTCCTACTGCACTAGCATACTCAATTTGTGCAATTGCTCTACCAGTATTTTCTACTAGCTTTATACTAGAATCATATGGTGTGCTATATTCTTTAAACCCTAAATGCTTAAATTTCTCAAGTACTTTCTCAATATAATGTGATTGGCTTAATGCATAGCCCCTACCATGTTTTTTAACT